CAAAGTTGTCGGTGTCTGCTTGGACTTTCCTCTAGAAAATCCTTTTCTGCCCGTGGATACTAAAGAAGCATAACTTTTCTGATGTTGGCCCTTGTTGTGTTTGGAAAATGGTGCAGAGTAAGAGCTTCTAAACCTTTTGTTTGTCTAAGCCTTCTTCGCCACTATATCTTCAAGGTCAACTTTTTCCATAGCTTTAACCTTGTTTACTGCTTCTTGAAAAGCAGTAAAATGATGAGAAACCAGAATTCTCTTATACTGAGTATTCAATCCAGAAACAAATCTATCAATTCTAGATTTCTCAGTCGGAATAAACTCCGAAGCAAATCGACTCAGCTTGTGAAACTCGCATTCGTACTCATAAATTGTTCTGCCGGATTATTTTAAGTTTAGGAACTGTTGCATCATCTCATTAACAAACACGTCCCCAATATACTTTTCCTTGAATTCCCTCAGAAAGAATTCCCATGTGATCTGCTCAGTGTAAAATCATGCCACGACTGTATTTCACCACACACTGGCTTGCTCCATCAGTAGAGACACAACCCCTTCCAACTTTCCTTGATCATCACAAGGAATCTTGTTGAGCATATTCTTGACATCATTCAACCAGAAGTCAGCAGCCATCGGATTAACATCCGAATCACCTCGAAACTCAGGTGCTCTCATCTTCCTCAGTTCTTTCAGAACTAACACTGAGGTTAGACGATTAATAATATTGTCTAGGGCTTGTAAGAATAATCCCCTATCTTGAACAGACATATCCTATTGATTCAAATTAGACGGCTCTACATTTGGCTGAGCATTGGGTGGATTCTGATTCACCTCATTACTCCCACTCTGTATAGGAGTAACATGCTCGCCTGCCCTACTCGATTCTTGATGATCTGACATCTGAACACAGTCAAAATCATCATACTTTAGTAAAGAGTAACTTTTCTCCAAATAAGCATCATCACAGTATATATACAACTATCAGTAACTTTTTACATCCTAGTGGCAAGTATACACCTTTTTAACTTAAAACAAACTCGGTTTAGTCCTAGAATCGGCTAAACCTATAGCTCTGATGCCAATAAATGTAACACCCATAACCCGTATAATTATACCTATACAGATGTTAGATGTCACCCAAATTTTCGAAAACCATTTTCAATTCAAAAGCGATTTAAATTTTATTTTCTTAAAATGGTAACTGATATTATAAAAATATCATATCATATAAATTATGTTTCGTTATAACAAATTTAATTCAAAAGAATTTTTTAAATAGTACCGTGAACAGGCACAATGAATAGTGAACAGTGAGGGTATCAGTACCTATAGCAGGGTATCGATACCCCTATAGCATTCTGGAAATTTTTAAACGTGGGTATTGTTCATTACTATTCACTCATAAAAACTTATATAAACTCATAAAAACTTAACCTTTCAACACTATAAAATTTCCATTTTGTTTCCAAGTTTGTTCAACAAAACAAATAAAACATTAATAAGTACATGCCACTAACAAAGTCAACATTACATCATAGGATGTCTTACTGATATTGAAATATACTCCCCGATGCTTGATGTCACTTTGAACTCTTTATTCCACTACTGGCTTTTTCCCTACGCGTGAAAATCATCACACGCTAAGTATATACTTAGTGAGGCAATTAAAATAATAAATAGTTCAATACAATTCATGCATGAATTTCAATGTCAAAATCAAATGCCATAAAATCATGTTACCAACATATCCAATATTTTACCATGATCAAAATAATATAATTGAATATAAAATTTCTTACCAATATACTTTCCATTTATTCCATAAGCTCGTAAGCTTATTTTTATGCTTACCATTTATTAACCAATAATCTATAAACCATAGACAATAGCCCAACCTGAGGACCCTGGATATTCGAGTAATATTTGCACCAAAGTGCTACACAAAAGGTCGTGCCCACCATATACACCGAAGTGTATTACACATAAGGTTGTGCCCACCATATACACCGAAGTGTATTACACATAAGGTCGTGCCCACCATATATACCAAAGTGTATTACACATAAGGTCGTGCCCACCATATATACTGAAGTGTATTATAAACCTGCAGCTGTTATACTCTATGGCATGCCAACTATATCCTGTACCTCAATGACTTACTTGGGCATATAGTCTATTTTATTTGATCTGTCCATGGAAAAGTATATTATCATAATTTAACATTGGGCAATTCATACCCGAAAACATTCATGGTAAAATATCACATTTTCCATAATCAATGCATTATAATTTCATACTGTGACATATTAATGTCATGTCAATTTATAAAAATATGACATAATATCATGCTGATATAAACAAGGTCGACTTATCACAAGTCTTCCTGATGATGTATTAAACATCCATGTATAATGTCATGCATGTATTGCACTCACCTTGACACTTTATATCTTTCAAAATATATGTGCCTCACTATTGTCCACAATAAACCCTTTTCTATTTAACTTGTTTCAATCACAAATCAATAACGAGCTATATAAATCACAAATTCATAACGATACATATGTTAGTATTGTACTAACATAAATATATCCCATAACAACTCCATAATATACTTGAAACTCATTTTCCACCAAATATTTTAACACTTATTAATTCTTTTTAATTTTGGCGTCAACTTTTCCAACTTATATAAAATGACCATTCACCGTTTTACCACTTAAAATTTCAATACAAAAATTTCCAAAAAACAATTTCCAGCATAGTACATCAATTATATAACGCTTACACAACAACCCGTTAATTTTCCAAAAATGACGAATTGATCCCTAACTTTTCAAAAATTACAAAATAGTCCCTGAATTTGTCTAAGACTTGTAGAATACTTCCTTCATCATTTCCAACCCATATATAATTTTTTCCATAATTTTTCTCACTCAAACAATCCATGGCTAAAACTTAAAGAACAAATTCTAGAAATATTATACATGTTCTAATCATCATACATACTTGAATATAAAGCAACTACCTCACAAACATCAAGATCCATCATTAATTTCATGATACCTAATATGAACACAAACTTTAGAATTTGGGATCTTTGAACACTAGCAAGATTATCATGCAATATTGGTACCAAATAATAGTGTTTTTCGCGTATAGAAATTTTCTTTTACGGCATACACAAAATCCAAATGAAATTGCTTAAAAATTGAATTGAAGCTTTCTCTCACCTTTGGAGAAACCCACGGCAGCTTGGAGAAGAAGATGAGCAAGTTGGATGAAATGTTGGGTGCATTTCATATTAGTTTACATTTAATTCCACTATAAATGAATAAAATATTCATTTAATTGAGATAAGACTAAAACACCCTTAATGAATCTTCCTATTCACCATAAAACTATGACAACTCATCTTTATCATCTTCCAAAGTCAAAGATGAATTATTTTGACTTTGATTTACGAAATTCCCCATTAATTTTCAAAAATTGTGTTTTAGTCACTAAATTCCACTGTTTCGGTTAAATCTGAAAAATTACACATTTCCCAACCAATTTCTCTGATCCAAAATATTAAAATAACATTTCCAACCATTTTATAACATCCTTCAAATTTTTGTAAAATTCTAATTCGATCTGAATTACCGATTCCTTACCGACTTTAACCCTTTCTAATTTTTTTCATTACTAAAAATTCAAATTCCAAAAATATGATTTCTATAAATCCTCACTCTCAAGAGTAAACTATCTATTTATGGAACAAAATTCTTTTTAGGAAATTTATCACTTAATTCCCTAAAATTTTACAAGTTTTATACTTTGGCCACCAAACTTCAAAAGTTACATTTTGGTCACTAACCAAAAATTTGGGGTATTACATAACCGACTCCCGGACTTATTATGTCGAATCTTTGTAAACACAAACCAGTTTTTCATCTAAAAAACATTTTTTTCTTAAAATTGTTTTAAAAGACGTTTTTTTGTATTCGACCTACCTAACCCAAAAGTCGATGGCGACTCCCTTTTCATTTTAATCAAATCAATCCAAAACCGACCAATTTTTCCAAATAAAAGTCATAACTGGTTTTTAAAATAATATTTAATTGTTTTACAAAAAAAATGATTATGACAATTATTAAATTATATTTACACTTATTAATACTATTGTATATAAAATATACCAAATTAAACTATAGTAAAAATATAAAAAATTATTTTAAGATAACTCATTAATAATATTTTTATATACGAAATATTTTATTAAGAAAAATATATTATCAATACTTTTTAACATATGGACATAAAATTATTATGAAATAATAATTTAAATACTTGTTTTGACAAACAGAATATTACAAAAAGACATTAGTAATTAAAATAAATTATTTTTTAAAGATGTGAGTATTAATTTATTAAAATAAAATATAAATAGATAATTGAGTGGAGCTTATGCAGTAGTAAGGTAAAATTATAATTTTCTTCCAATACAAAGTTGAGATTGAAAAAGCTAGAAATCCTATCTTTTGCGGTTAGTTTTAAACCACCGTTTTCACTGTAATTTATTTTTCATTTTTAACTCGTTTGGCATTGATTTTGTGATTGAAATGAGCTTTTTATCTAAAAGTGTTTTTATAAAGTCACGCCAAACGATACCTTATTATTATTAATTTGTTCATTTTACCGTTCTCATTTATTAATGTTGATATTTTATTATTTAAAATTTATTATAATAAAATGAAAAAAATAATATTAAATTTATTTATAAAATACTCTTAAGATATATATTAGAAAAATTAATTATTTAAATTATTTATAACTAAAAATTTAACCGTAAAAATCAATAAAAAAGTAAGTTTAATTCAGAAACAATGTTATTCGTATATATTTTATAATATTTGGTGTTGGATTATCCAATATCGTTAAAATCTTGGGCTTAGCCACTGCTTTACAGGCCAACTCTTAAAATTCAAAGGTAAAGGGTCCGAAATTAAATAATTAATTAATTAATAATGTCGAAAATGGCTTCGGTTTCAATCACCACATCCTTATCTCGGCTTTCTCTGTTTCATCTCACTAGAAAACCCTACATATCACCTTCTTCACTCTCATTTTCTTACTTCTCAAATCCCTATAAACAAAAGGTTCGTGTGTGTGAATTTTTGGTTTTTACTTTCTAAGACAAATTCATCAGCATTTCATCATTTCATTACACAAAAGTCTAATCTCTAAAACATCTTCGTTCTACAAGTTTAATTGAAATTATGTATTTTTGTAGGATCGAACGCAGTTTAGGTTGTATTCAATGGCATCATCCAACTCAAAGGAATCAGCTGCCAATAACCCTGGGCTTCATACTACTCCGGATGAAGCTACCAAAGGCTATTTCATGCAGCAAACTGTAAGTTTTGTATTAATTTGGGTGTGTGTTTTTAAGGGATTTATGTTAATGGTTTTCCTTTTCTGGGGTTGCAGATGTTTCGAATTAAGGATCCAAAAGTCAGCCTTGATTTTTACTCCCGTGTATTGGGCATGTCGTAAGTTATATTTAGAAGCCGGGGCTTTTCCTTGTTTTATTCCGACTAATTCAGGTCGAATACTACATAGATAATTTATGAGACGACCATGCATCTCAGTTGGTTTCATTCACAACATCAATATTTGAGCCCTACCTTGTTTAAGAGATCTAGGCCTCATCCTGGTATTTAAATGTGTAGACACACTTTTTTGACCATACAAATATACATATTATAAATTATTATTATTTGAACTAATGTTTTTCATTTATTTACAGGTCCATTACAAAAGCCCAGGAAGCTAGTCCAACAGTGGCCCATATTGGACCAGAATCAAATACCCGGCAGCAGAAATGCTAACCAGTGGAGCCACACGAACCGGTCCAGGCCCGATCCGGTTCATTACCTGAAGCACCCAAAGGTGTAAACCCTAGCTCTTCCGTTCCAAGTCAGCGTCGCAGCCTCTTCAACGTCGTTTCTCCAACAACCCGAAACTGTCGCCGGTTCCCTCGCCCCACGCAACCAACCTCCTAGCGTTTCAACAGACATAACCAAACGTGTGTTAGCAGGATTCGTTCACAACCAACAAAAAAAGTATTTTAATTCGTACATGACTCTAAAAATAGAGAATCCTAGACTATAAATCAAACTCACTGAGGATGGATTATGGTACTGGAAAATACGGGCACCACGAGCAAGAGATTCAAAAAAATACAGAAAAATCGGGGAGGAAAAACACGACGGGGTCGAACAAAAAAAAAAACTGAGAGAAAGAGAAAAAGGTTTACCTTTCACCGTCGTGGTCTCACCAGAATCGAAGCTCTGATTGTCAGTTCGTGAATCCAAACTGAGGGGAGCAATATATCTTGGAACCAAGTCGATCTAACGGTGGTCGACAGCGAATCGAAGAGGGAAGGCTGAAACGTTCATCGGCCATTTCGTGGAGCTAGAGGTTGTTCCATGCGAAAAGAAGGTCGGATCCGTGACCGCGGTGTCGAAACGAAACTCCTGTGAATTTTCGGCTCGAATAGTAACCGGCGACGAGCATTCTGGTGATTCTATCGTCGGCCTTTGAAAACTGGAGCTGGGGCGAGCACTTCTCTGTTGTCATCTTGTGGAGAGAGAGGAGAAATAAACCAAATTGAATTTGGTTTTCATAAACACGTGAACTGGTCACTTTTTCCAAAGGTATAACACGTGGTTGGAATGGCCAAATTGTTATTTTAGTCCTTCCAGGTTTGGAGAAATTTCATATGTTTACTTGAAGTCATTTATCATTAGGTTTTGGTCCCTGCTTTTGAAATATTTCATTTGGACCCTAAATCAGTCTTGTACTTCGATTTCTTCTTAATTTCATCCTTTATTTTGTTATTATTTCAATTCAGTCTTTTCTGTATGTTTACTTTGTTCTTATTTAATTTTATTTAATTTATTTTTAATTAATATTATTTTGTGTTATATATTCATTTATTTCTTTTAGACCTTTTTATTTTCTTTTAATTTCTTTCTTTTTTTACTGATTATTCTAATTTTTATTATTTCTTTTTTTTATTTTTTTATTTTTTTTATATATATTTTATGTTATTTTTTATTTTCTTTTTATTTTATTTTTTTAAACTAATTTTCTTATTATTTTTTATTTTTAATTATTTTATTATTATTTATTCTTCTGTTTTTTACTAACTTTGTTTATCTTTGCCATTTATTTTATTTTATTATTAAATTAATGTATATATATATATATGTTCCTTTTTCATATTTATTTATTTTACCATCTAACATTTTCGACATTTTCAGTGGCAATTTCAATCAATCAAAGGTAATTAATTCGAATTGAATCTTTTAAATTTTAATTTTAATTTAAATTTTCGCGATAAAGACAACCGACAAATTAATTGGTACCGAAAGGGCGGTTCAAGGGTGCTAATCCTTCCTTGACCGTAACCGACTCCCGAATCCAACACATTTCTGGTAAGACGCAGATCAGGTAAGAAATAAGGTACCCGATCAACCCATTTTTCATAAAATAAATGATCGGTGGCGACTCCAATTCATTTAATCCAAGTCGAAGCCCAATTCCGGGCCCACCCGAAAGACGGTTACGACAGCTTGGCGACTCCGCTGGGGACAGGTAAGTGAATCAGGCCATAATTAATTTTCGGTTGTCTTTTTATGCGAAAATGGTAAATTTAAATTTAAATTAATTTATTCGATTCCAATTATTTACCTTTGATTATTTTTTTTCAAATAAATAGTTGTACTGACATTTTTTTTCAATGGTTTCAGATTTTTGAAAAGTTTTTATCTCTGGCTTTATACCCGAGCTCCAAACCCTTTTAAGTGGGGGTGAAAGCGACGCATTCGTGTGAATTTATTCACCGCATATGCCTAGCAAGTAGCCTTCGGGATTCATATACCTTATGTCTTCGTGTGAATTTATTCACCGTGCGGGCATAAGGGAATGTTTCCTCTCGAGTTTAACTTAGTCCACATAAGCTTGTAATGGGCTTAGGACTATGGGTCTGGTAAGCCCAAGGGGGCACCGGCAAGGAGAACTCGAGTACCTTTTTAGAACCTAAACCGGGAGAGTACAGGGAATTAGAGCCCACCCCGAAACCTCATTCCAAACCCTAGGATGTTTTACTTCCTACTTTATTTTCGGCTCAAAAGCATGCGAACTAGACAAATATGCGGTTAGGATTTGTTTGAAATTAGCATGCGGGATAGAGATCATGTCCGGGTAGGAATTAAAGCATGTGGGGTAGATATCATGTGGGGTAGGATTTTTTCATTTTTGTTTTGATTTACCTCACTAACTCTTTTTTATTTTTGTTTTCTTTTATTTTCATCATTCGCATCATTTAAAACGAGGTGTTGATCCACCAAAAATGTGTTTGTTAAACATGAATAATCAACATTAATGGACAAAGGGGTTACAATACAAAGAGATAAAAAGCTCAGAAGTCCAGCCGTGGTCAGAGAATACTCAAAGGCAAAGTTGCAGGGGCAATACGAGGAAAAGGTCACTGACCCGGTCGCTCCTTTTAAAAAACTACAAGAACAAGATGGTGAAACCCTAATTGAGCGGGATGCCATTGCTGATGAATTCAAGAAGCAAGCTTTGGATAGTTTCTCTCGCTCCAATGGCATTTTTAGAAACAAGCTCGGCAGATAGTGAGAGCCGGAGATGCAGTCCTTCGAGACCTTTTGGGGGCAAGCATCTCATTATTTGCACATTTTAGCCAAAGGAGCCGAGATGGTTCGGCAGGATATTCAACTAGTGGAAAAGACGAATCAACTTGTCAGAAGCTGTACAGGATTCGTACCATCAAAAAGAGTTTTTATCTCTTCAGACGTAACACTTTTGTCACCAATAAGGGTTATTCAGAATAACAGGCACATTTTTGGATCAATGCCTCAGACATTTCATGCATCACATATTTAGACATTTTTCATTTCTTATTTTTTGTGCATTTTGTTTGCATTCACATTAACTAATATATATCATCATACGCCTCAAGTACTGGACACACCCCATCCACATAACACTCGTTTGAAGAAGAAGAGGATGGAAGCCAGAATTACACAAATCGAGGAGAATATGTTAAAACTACAAAAGGAACTAGAAGACAAAATAAACCAGAACAGTCGAAATACTCTGGAAACAATATCAAAGAACCAAGAGTCCTTGGTTGATCAGATCGTTGCCAAGTTAGTTGGCCTACAACAGACCAGTGCGCCTGGGGCAGGTTCATCGGAAGGGGTAACTATACAACCTACCCCACAAGTGGTTATCTCACCTGAAATCTTACCAGAACTCCGAGGGGACTCATCGACGGCAAAAGCAAAGCCCTCGTCCTCTATATTTAACCTTAAGGACAATCCGGGTTATTACCATGTACCGGATCTGGACGAAGAGGACAAAGCGAAGAAGATGGAGGAAAAAATCAAACAATTGGAAGACCAGATGAATATAGTCAAAGGAGGCCGTGACTACCATGAAATCGATGCAACGGAACTTAGTCTAGTCCCGGACTTGGTTCTTCCCCCGAAGTTTAAGTCCCCGGAGTTCGAGAAGTTTGACGGAAACAGTTGTCCATCCGCTCACATCACCATGTTCTGCCGAAAGATGACAGGATATGGAGGAAACGACCAACTCCTGATCCACTGCTTCCAGGATAGTCTGTCGAGCTCAGCCATTCGGTGGTACAACCAGCTAAGCCGATCAAATATCAAGACCTGGAAGGACCTGGCCAAATCATTTCTGGAACAATACAAGCATAACAATGACATAAGGCCAGATCGAGTTATGCTACAAAACATGGAAAAGAAGCATAACGAGAGTTTCAGGCAGTACGCACAAAAATGGAGGGATTTGGCTGTGCAAGTTCATCCACCGTTAGATGAAAAGGAAACCCGGAAACTTTTCGTGCAGACTCTGAAGGCTCCATACTTCGGGCATCTGGTGGCGATCACATCAGGAAGCTTTTCAGACTTGATTATGGCCGGAGAAATGATTGAGTCGGCCATAAAGCAAGGCAAGATTAAGGATGGGGAAGCCAGTAAGAAGCCTCCTATGAGGGAGAGGGATGGAGAGGTTAATAACATCAAACACTCCGGCAAAGGTGTTACAATCTCCAGCCCAAAATCAACTGCAGCTGTACCGATAGGTACTTCTAAACAAGATTCCAGGAGAGAAAGGGAACATTTCGACCCAATTCCCATGACCTACAAAGAGCTTTACCAGCAACTTCTTAACACCCATGTAGTGTCACCATATCCAGTAGAACCCATGAAGCCCCCATACCCCAAGTGGTATGATGAGAATGCGTATTGTGAATATCACGGCGGAGTCCCAGGGCACACAATTGAGAACTGTTACGCATTCAAGAGGGTGGTACAAAAGATGCGTAACCAGAACTGGATCGACTTCAACAACTTGGGGGCATCCAAGTGAGGAATATCATTTCATCATTTGAGGCATTCTGTTTGACTTTGTTTTTCTTCCATTTTTTTTTCTC